TTCCTAAAATCAAAATTTTTAAAATGTAATATGTTCATTATCTAGAATTTTAATATTAAATTCTCAAATATTACTTAGAATATTTTATGTACATCTGTGCATGTGCACAAGATATTAACTAGTTAACACATCAAACTTAATATATTAATTTGTAAAAAATGAAAAAAAAAAATTAAAAAAATACACTATTTTCAGCTGACCTAATTCTGGCATTGTACAAAATTTGTTTCCAATTCTATCGTTCTTCAGAATCTGTTTCATTCGATTGACCGACCGTTGAATTTGTTTTATAGAGACAATCGCACCCGCATAGTTTTATTCCAATTGAAGTTCGTTTAGCCACTCAAATTTTCATCTAAAATAATTTTCGCCCAATATTCGATGTTATATTTTTGGGGCCCATTCCGGTGCTTTCCAACATCCATTTGAGTCTCTGAGTCTTACTGTTGGATTCGTCTCGTCGTTTATCGTACCTCTAAAAGTTTCAACCCAATCAAAATTCGTTTGTCTTCTCAATTTTTTGTCAAAAATAATTTGGATTGTTATTTGTCTGACCTAATTATGGAACCATTCAACCCAATTTTAGTTTCTTTTCATTAAGACGAATATACCCACAAAATTTCAATTTGGACTTTTCGTTTTCCTACTCAATTTATATGCAAAATTTCTATGCAAAATCTAAATTTTATGCCCGTGTCCAGCATATTATCACTTGCATCGAGCTCTTGATAATGTATCTTTTATCATGCTTCTCATGATTAATGTATATATTTGTTTTATATATTTTTGAGAAGTTAATGTATTAAATTTAAATGCGTAAAAATAGTGTATTTTTATGACCAGAGCCAAGTTAGGGGTGTATTCAATTGAGGTTTTAAGAACTTTTTGATACTTTACAAATCTTGGTGTATTCAATTTTAATTTGTTGAGACTTTTAAAAGTCTTGGGACATCCAATTGAGATTTTTAAATGTCTTACACAATCATGAGGTATTTAACTTTGACACTAGGATTTTAAGACTTTTTAACCTTTTGTGGGATTACTAAACAAAAAACCTGATACGAATCCCACCTCCGCACTTAAGATTTCACAACATTCATTCAAGATCTGAAAATTTTAAAAAGTCTTAAATCTTAAAAAAAATCTTAAAATGAACTTAAAATCGCAATTGAATACACCGTGTATTATTAAAATTTGTCATCTCGTGTTTTTTCTTTGCTTTAAGTGGGTTTAACAATCCAGATACGATAAATTGATCCGAAACTACAACTATTTAAATGCATATTCCCCTTATATATTAATTCAAAATGTGTTGAGCCTAAGTGGCAGACTCGCATTTTTTGAAATCCACATGTCACAATATCATGCTTTGTATTGAGGTTCGGATAAAAAGTTTGAAAACAAAATTGACTTGTAAAGTGCTATAAACATTTTTCTACTATACATAACTAGTATGTGCCTCGTGCGATGCACGGGATAAAGATATTAAATAAGTTATTTTTAAAGTCTCTTTCCGTCAAGTCTAAAATCCGATTGGGTTATCATTTATTTTTCACTTCTTTTAATCAGCGTTAAGTCTAAAAAAACAATAGGGTTATAATATATTTTCCACCTCTTTTAAGCAGCGTTGATTTTTTAGACACAATATTATTAAATATGAGCATGTTAGGGCGTAAACTCATCAATATATTATCTCACTAACACATTTATGCTAATATAAATTTGATTTTAGAGTATATATTTATTCCTGGATATAAGAGAAAATAACATTTTTACTTATTCTTGTTCACCATATATATCTTAATTATTATTTTATTAGAAACTTTGTTGTCATATAATGTCATTATTATTTATTAATGTTATAGAAGTCGTACGTCTTCTTTTTTTTTATTCTATGAAATGAAAATATTTAATGCATGTTAGTATTATTTATTTATGTAATCATTTTAAAATATGTAAATAAATTAAAAATTAAATAGTGTATAAATATTTACAAAATATATTTATAGAATTCAATTTTGTATACTAATTAAACAACTTTGTATACACATGTTCGTCCAAACTTAGAATGGGTTTTCATTTTTAAACCGGTGATTTTATGAAATCCGCTAGGAAGGAAAAAATTACACTCAACAAAATTATTAGCATAAAAGAATAGATTATGATATCACTAAAATGGTTTGATTTTCAATAAATTCAAACTGTACATAACACATAATTTGTGAATATTCTTCTTTACAGCAAAAACTGACAATATGGCATGACAAACAACAACCAAGATTATGACAATGTATATAATGCTTATTTTTATTTTTATATGAAAACACTTAAAAATAATACAAAACTTACCTTTTTAGTATGTAATTAATGATTTTGGCAGGAAACTATTTATAAAAATTATTTAACTTTATTCTTATTTTATGTAGATATATTTGACTCCATTCTTTGAATAAATTCGAATGCAATCGGATATATGATTAGTCAAATAGTGAACTGAATATTGTGGTATTTTTGAGAAAATGAGTTACTCTGCTTAGTGGATTTTGTGGTATATCTTTTGTTATTTTAGTCTCGTTTTATAACCAATTTGATTACTTTATTTGTATAACTTTGAAATGAAATATTTATAATTAATTTGTTTTTTTTTTCAATTATTATTTAAGTTGTATATATTTCATTTTATGTTAAAAAATAATATTTTTGTTTTGAAACATGCTATTTATATATATGTATATAAAAATTTGTAAATATTTTTTCATCAATGATTAAACTTTGTATTATTGTATATTAGCGTTCTTATTTAAATCATGATTAGGGTAAAATATTTAATAAAAGAAAAAACTTTTCGCGTGTAAAAAATTAATAAAAAAAATGTTTCAATGACAATGAATTTGTGTATATTTCCTTTACCGTAATCCTCCAAAGAAGCGTGTTACCATAAGTATCTCAAGCAAAAGTTGAATATGACAATAATTTACAAATTGATTCCCTTTTTTCACGGCTATTTATCTCAAGCCTAATCTGAATTTGACAAATAAGTTACAATCATTTCCTTTTTTTATTTGGAAAACAAATCTGTAATTAGCAAATAGGAGATTTATTTGGATTTTGATTCCACATTGGCTACCAATATAAAAGTATTGGATTGGATTCCTAAAAAAAAAGGA